ATACTAATAACTTATCAGACCCCAATGGAAGAAATGCTCTAAATGTTAGATGCTTCTCTTTCTAGAGCAAACTGACCTTATTTGGGAGAGAAAGCAGAGTGAGAGCCCAGATGTCCAAGCAGGACCTCTGCTTCCAGAGAAGCACTTCCTGTGCTTCTGCATGTATTTTTGTTCAAACCACTGCCTGAAGTAGCTTTTTTTAGAGAATGAGGCATGGGTTTCAGAGAGCTTAATTAACTGGCCCAAAGTTTCCCAGGAAGAATGGCACGAATCTGAGGTTTGAACTCAGGATTGGTTTATTCTAAAGTACTTTCTTCTACTTGACTCATGGCCAAACATTAAGGTGTATAATTTTTGATGGTGATAGTTACTATAATCTCACAGAGTTCTGAGGCTGTTTTGAAAAAAGCTCTGAACTTCCTTTGTAAGTATGGTTTAGTAAATTAGGATAAAAAGAAAAAAAACTTGACATTATTTTGCAGTAGATACATCTACTCCTCACTTATTGACTATTTCATTATCGTACATTTTGCGTTTACAACAATAGTAAACAATCTTCTACCCAACTATTTTGTGCATTAACAATGTGTGAGGGGAGAATAATGCTGGCTGTGATGGTTATGTGTCAACTTGACTGGGTCCTGATTCTCAGTGTTTTGGCAGTTATGTAATGATGTAATTTGGCAGTTATGTGATGATGTCCTCCTCCATTTTGTGATCTGATGTGATCATCCTCCATTTTTGCATAATACTGATTTTCACATAATGACCTGGTCTTTAGAACCTAACCATGTCGATAAGTGAGGAGTGGGTGTATATAATACATGTGTATTTAATTTTCCTCTGTAACCCCAATAAGAAATTAGTCTAATGCATAATGGATCAGTATGACTTGGACATACTTACTAAAAATTCCCAAATATTAATATATAACAGAAAACTTATAGTTTGTAGTGGATATTTTCATTGAGTCCTAGTCCTTGACATATGAAATAAGCTGTACTCAGTATAGATTTGAGCTGGTTATCCAGTGTCAAATCTTTTAATGCAAGAGCATGTCAAGGTGCTTTTTCAGCCAGATGTAATAGTATTTACTATAATTTTGAGGTCATGGAAGAAAATCAAGGAGAAAGTGAGTTTCTGGCATAATATAAAAGTATTCAATGAATAATTCTGCTACCAGTGATTTAAAAAAAAAAAAAATCACTGTTAATGTGTCAGGCAACTTAAATTTAAATTGTTAGAATATGTTAAAAAATGTTTTGGCAAAAAGTACATATTTGCTAGTATAGTTTACTTTCAAATAATCACAGATTTTGTTTGAAATTGAGCCATAGTCGACTCAAAAGTGGGATTTCACAGACTTGGGTTTTTGCCTGTTTATTTGCAGGAAGCCAAACTTAAGAACTAAGAACCCAATATGTAGTGGAACAGAGGAGGTGGATGGTTTATAGATTTGGCGTTCTTTACGGGGTCGTGCAGATTGAAAAGGAAATATGTTTTAGCAAAGGATATGAAGAGGTGAAAGGATTAAAAATTTCCTAAACTCATTGGACACAACTTTTGACACTGTGTTTTCATAGTTTCTGTGATATTATTGATGGGTTCTGCTCCACAGATCATTTGTTTATCATCTTCATGTATTCTGAATGAGTTTGGCTAACTTCCCTGCCTTTTTATGATTTGATAGTGTACTTTTCAGCATAGACCAGTTACTCTCATTGCTATTGAATGAGGCAACTGTAGGATGATGGTGTGAGAAAAAATGGGGGCCAGGATGGCCAAGGTCTTAAACCATGTTACAAAAACGAGCAAAGGAGGGATGCAGCAGGGGACATTTCATCTTAAGGATTTATTCAACATTATAAAATTTTTTTATCCCAAGTTGTATTTTTTTTCTAATTTTTGAAGTAATAAAGAAAAAGCCCTTCAGTAGAAGGTTCCTGGAGAAGGGGAGAGATCGTCACATCACTTTTAATTTGATTCTTGTGCTATACTGGCACCATCAGTACCAAATGCTCACATGGGTCATGTTTGAAGAAGGTTCTGTATCTATAAAAGTTTAGCTTCCCATCAGACCTTATGCAGTAAGTATTTATACTACATACTGATTGTCTCGAGTTGACTCTGACTCATGGCCACCCCCTCTGTGTCAGAGTAGAACTGTGCTTCATAGGGTTTTTCAGTGGCTGATTTTTCAGAAGTAGATCACCAGGCCTTTCTTCTGAGGCCCCTCTGGGTGGACTTCCATCTGCAGCCCTTTTGGTTAGCAACCAAGCGCGTTAACTGTTTGCACCACCCAGGCACTTCAGTAAGTATTTAGATAGGGTTTAATAAGCATTGATAATGGAATGACTTTAATCATACTTGCTATTATTTTAAGTGCTTATTAATGTCTTTAAAATTCTTTCTTCCTGGGTAGGTGGGACCTAAGATATTATAGGTCTGAGCTATAAAGCTTTATAAGCTAAAGTGATCCTAATTTATTCAACCCCTGTCCAAGGGAATAAAGTAAAGATATACAAGGAAAATCAGCTTGTGTCAACCTTCCCCAACTACTGTTTTCCAGGCACTTAGGTCATGTTTCATAATATCACGATGAAGTCACGATGTCAACCCAGAGTACCACTCCTGCTTTAGATACAATTCAAGCTGTGTATAAACAGGCATGTACACAAAATTTATTTTTCTAAATTGTTTTCAGAAAGTGAGTTGTGCATACCTGCCAGGAGTTACAAGAGAATGATGAAGATTGTTTTGTCTGCCCGTCCTTCTGCGCTCGGTTATCTATCCCAGTGCTTCACACCTTTCTGTTTGTCAGCAGGATTGTCTCTGGTGCTTTTTAATAAAAATGTTGGCAGGGGATTGTTGATCCCAAAGATGGGCAAACATACAGGTACACAGGCACCTTCTTCTCGGAATGCAGTCGCAAATACACTGGTCTGCACATCTGAGCCTCCCTCCATGCAGGAGAGTTGAGATTCCCCAGGGAACCTGTGGACATTTCCCAGTGATGGTGACAAGGCCAGCTTTTTCCCAAGTTAGAAAATG